TTTTTGGCACCCCAAAGCCGGGGGGAAGGAAGGCGGAGCTATTTCCCTGTTCCCCAAGGTGCCAGAGCCCCCCCCCCCCCCCCCCCCCCAGGCCTCCCCTTGCACGCCGTCATTTGACACAGGCGGCAGGGGAGAGTGGGGAGATGTCCCCACGGGGCGTGGCGGCCAGCCACAGGATTAGCGCGGCCACCCCTCTGGCTTCTGCTGAACTCCACCTGCTCGGCCCTGGGTCTGGATCCGGGTGCCTGTCCTCACCCCATCCTCCTCGCACTGCCTGCCTGGCCTCATCTTGCTGCATTGTTAAGAGCCTGTGCGCCGCCTCAGTCATTTGCAAAGTTGGGTGTAAGCCCTCAGGTAAAAGCCCATCTCTGAGCCGCTGCACCAGAGTGCCTCCAGCGCTGACTGTGACCACCCAGAGCTGGCCAAGTTCTGACAGAATGGGGAGCCAGGATTCTGTGAGGCTCTGTGGGGGGAGTGCTGGCCGTGTGCAGGCTCCCTGCCGAGGGCTCTGTATTTGGAGTCTGGGTTGGAGGCCTGATGCACCTGTCACCTGCATGTCTGGCTCATCCCAGGAGAGCCATTCCCATGGCCTCAGATGTGGACTTTCATCATATCTCCTAGTAGGTAAACCTGCAGTCATGTTTGGGTGTATTCTGTGTAAAATATGTGTTAAATGTAAAAATGTTAAATATCCCACAATTGCGTAACTCTTTTAGTACCTATTAGTTTTTAAATAAACTGGGAGCCTTAAAACAGTGGGAGTGACCTGGGCTCTCACAAGCTCTGAGCTGCTTGCTAGGGGGCTGTGACCCCCCTCGTGGTGGAGGATGGTGAGGTGGGGCATCACCTCTGGGTTTTCTGCAGCAGAGCCACTCACTGGGCTCAGAGCAGGGAGGTGGGGTGAGGCTGCTGGGCCAGGGCGGTTCCCAACTATAGACTGCTAGAGCTCGAGGTCAGCCAGAGGGGCTCAAGCCCCGAGTGGGAGAAGGGATGAGCAGGGCACCGATCTGTGCTGTACCCGCCAAATCTTCCTACCACCTTGCAGGAGCCAGAGTGCCCCGTGGAAGACAGGTTCCCTTGTCCTGACAGAAGCGGCCAGGCCAGGTGTCTCGGGGCTCCATGGGTGGGCCTGGGCCCCACCCATCTCTCAAGGGCATTTACTAGAAGTGCAGATGGCTAGATAAAAGGCAAGCCTATTTTTGCTTGGAGCCCTGCTCTCCAAGGCCAAGAACATTTCCTCCACCTGTCACCTGCCTGCTCTGAGCACCCAGGAGGGGTCAAGGATTGGAAAATGTGCCCTTTGGAGCTGCCTCTCACTGTTGATGAACCACAGACAGGAGACCAAGGCATGTGGAGGGCCTTCAGCAGACCAGAGTCTTCTGCCCCCATCCAGCCCAGCTCACCTCTATTCTCCAGGTGATGATCCCAGGGTCGTTGCCCACAGCCTGAAAGGCACTGCTCAGAGACATGGCGCTTGTCTTCCTGGGACTGAAACATCACAGAGCAAGCACGGAGATGACGCCTCTCACAGCAGTCATCCAGCCAGCTTTCCTCCTAACTCACTTCCCAATCTCTTGTCAGCCATCCTGCCATATCCTTGTGGTGCATCCCTGCACTATCTCACAGTGATGCGGAAAATGACTTGTCCAAGTTCATGTTGTAAGGCTGGCTGGCCCAGGGATCCCCACCGGAAATTCTGCTTCCCACTTGCCACTTTCCTTGTTAAGAGCTCTGATAACACAGCCATGATTATTTACTGAAGGGGTGACAAATATGCTAAGCCCTGTATTGGTTGACTTTATGTTCTCTCATTTAATTCTCATAAGCTGAGTATATTTTCTTTGTCTTATGTTGTGGAAAATTGAGGTTCAGAGAGGTTAAATAATTTACTCAGTATCACTAGAATGAAATCCATACCTGATCTTAAAATCTGTGCTCTTTTCTAGTTTCTGTGATATACTGCAGCCCTTCCTAACTTACCTAAATTCAGTGGCACATGGGATTGAAAAGGTTACGCCGGAATAAGTATTTCCAAACTGGGTTTCCTTCTTTCATTCCCAATCCGTCTAACTCTCCCAGACTCCCTGCTTGCCAGGTCCTCTCCACAGTCAACAATTTGAGCTTTTACTTCCCAGACTGCTTCAGACAACCCATTCTGCTTCTGTCACATGACTAATATATTCCCTGTGCCTCACAGAAGAGGGAAAGTAAAATGGCAGGGCTGGGGCTAGGACAAAGAGTTCAGGGTACCAGCAGGGGCAGGTAGGCGTGGCCTGTGGGCAGATCCCCCCCCCCCGCCCCCTCCCACACAGACCCAGACAGTGGTGCTGTGGCCGCCCACAGACAGGGTGGGGAGAGGGAGGAAGAAGTAAAGAGAAGTGTGGATTGTGTACTATCTGTTCGAAGTGTGTCCAGGGTTATTAAGCACCTACACATGTCCATGGCCACACAGGCTTTAAATAGTGAAAATTCCTGCCTGGTGGTTTTTGTTTTTTTTTTTGCTGTACGCGGGCCTCTCACTGCTGTGGCCCCTCCCATTGCGGAGCACAGGCTCCGGACGCGCAGGCTCAGCAGCCATGGCTCACGGGCCCAGCCGCCCCGCGGCATGTGGGATCTTCCTGGACCGGGGCACGAACCCGCGTCCCCTGCATCGGCAGGCGGACTCTCAACCACTGCGCCATCAGGGAAGCCCCTCCTGCCTGGTTCTTGCTCTCAAGGGGCTTGCAATCTGATTGATACACATCACTGATGAATGCTCCCAAGAGGCAAAGGAAAAAGGATGGGCTTGACGAAGTTACATAGGATAAAGAAAAAGAAAAATAAAGAAAAAAACAACCCCACCCAGAAAGGACTATCTGGGGTTTTGCTATTTGGAGGCATATTGTGCTTGTTAAGAGGAGCATGTCTGGCCATTCTTCTCTTAAGCCTTGGTGGATGAACCCAGGTTTGGAGAGTATGTGCCATTATCTAGTATGGACATTGGCCAAAAAAAAAAAAACAAAAGACAAACAAAAAACTCTCTTTGTCTACTGCTACAGCAGAACTAAAGCAGAGCAGTGATGCGGAGCTGCCAGTGTTTAAGGATTTAATTTGATAATTGGCACTGCCCCACCCTGTGCTGCTTAGAATTGCCAGGAAATATTTGTTCAGGTTTTCTTCAGACCCTAGATTTCAGTCATTAAAGGCAAAGGCTGTGACCCAACTAGGGGAAGGGGACAAGGAATTCATTCCTTGGAGAGAGGTAAGAGTAAACCTGGTAAAAGTCAAACCAGCTAGCACTAATTAGAACTGAGTCCAGAGGCCAAAAGCAGTTCCATTTTCCAGCAGGGACTTGGCAATCAAAATGCTCACTGGGCCAGGGTCCCTGAAATGCAGGCGAGGACATGCTCAAAGCAGGGACTTTGCCGTACTGGAACACCCAGAAAATGTGATTGGGGGACCTGAGCAAAGTCCCCCAAAGCTCAGTCTCTCCCTCCCTCCTCCTCAAGTCCTAATTTATCAACTCAGCACCCTTTGAGACCACTGCACAAACCACTGGGCGGGGTGCAGTTTTGAAATCCCAGCTTAAAAGCTGGTGGCCCTTAATTCTTACCAATACTCCTAGGAATGGACCCCAAGCAGAGGAAGCTGGTTTAAATTTCTGCCTTGCCCCATACCATCTCTTTGAGATGGGTGAATCTTTCCAAGCTTTTGAAAGTGTGTCCTGTTTAGTGGTCTCTAAAAAG